GCCTTCGGGGAAGCACACCCTGCTCGCTCCCGAGAACAAGGCGATGGGAAGGTGGCGAGCGCGCCGCTTCTGCAGTTTGCTTGCTCTTTCTTTACTACTCCAAATACTCAGTTTTTCCTAAGCTAGCACATTGCTCTAAATGTAACGGCCGTGGTCTGCATTTCCCCCCTCTGCTGAAAACCACAAAAAGGTTTTATTAAACTCTTCTTCAGAACAAAATCAAATGATTTCAGAGTGCATGGGTGAGAACCAGCTGGGACGCCGATACCGGGAAGCGGAGCGTAGTTGATCATACTGTTTTGTGGTAGTTTCCAAAAGCTCTTAAGGCAGCCTGGAAGTGTATATATAATGGTTAGATATGATTTTTAAAGTGAAGTCTCTTTATGGCAAAGCTCAGTAGTGAAAAATGCTTGCGTGCGATTGAGTTGTATCAATCACTTGGAAATGAAATAAAGTCAGATTTAAAGCTAGTGCACTGGATTAATCAGCTGCTCCCCAATTGCATTCATTGACCCTGCTCATTCAGGGACTGTAATTAAGAAAAACAGCAGTGACTTCAAATTTGGCACCTGAATCACAAGGTTAAAGCAGTAAATTTCCAAGTCTGAGTGGGGCCAGGTTAGGAGGAGGTAGCTCTCGTCTCACTGATGAACAGAAGGGCTCAGCCCCTGGCAGAGGAGCAATGAGCGAGGGAGAAGGAGGCAGGCAGAGGTTTATGGAGGTTTGTCAGAGTTCAGTCGCTGAAGACAGATAACCCTGTCCTTGCACACTTACAGATATAAAAGATTTGAAATAAGCAATGCGTCAGGTTACGTACAGGTTTTTCATACTGACCTCCCTATGAAAGAAAAAAAATTCTGCTAGTTTCTAGTTAAGCAACACAGAAGTTGCCAAGGTTTAAAATTAAAAGAAGACTCACTTACTTGGACAACTGCTTTTTGCAGTCAAAAATGAGAATTTGGGCCCTAATGCTGTCAAAATACCCACATATGGACACCAGTGGCTATCACTGTTGTTGTGAAGTAGATACACAACTGGAAGTCATGGGACCTCTTGCCACTATAAAGATGTATTGGTTTGGATGATTCTGTAAGATCTTTGGGCAAATAATGCTATTTCAGGTACAAATTTATCATCTTATTTTCAGAGGTGAGTAGCACGTGCAACTCAGCTGGCCTTGCAGATCCTCTGTTTTATTTTATTAGAGGTCAGAAAGGTCCGTCAGAGTGTCTAGGCTGTTCCTTTGTAACTATGGACCGTTAAATGTAATCCCCATCACTCAAAGATGAAGCTCAAAGCATTATAATTGCGATAAACCATTTTAGTCCGTAGGTTTCCAAATTGTATGCCACAGGCAGGGGAAAGGAGTGACCCAGCTGCCGCCTATGTCCAAAACCATCATGTTAATGCTGTCTGAAGGCTTTCTGAGATCAAATGTCTTGGTTAGTGACCAACAGATTAATAACTTTAACTTTCTTCTCCATATGCCATGTATTTATTTATGCAGGAGTTATATTCCATAAGCTGTTTGAGGTGAGGCTTATGAATAGCCCTCGTACAGCTCCAGAAGATAAAGTTTGGAAGTGCCTGTGTAGAAATAATGTGATGGTCTAACTAACGTTAGGCAAGATGTAAATCGTAGCTTCAATTTTTCTACCTTGTTTTGAGAGGCATGTGACATGTCAAGTCTATCGGGTGCATGAATGATGGGTTTAAAAACATGCCTTCTGAAAGAATATAAACCAGCTGGCGAATAAAATTGCCGGTTGGTTTGGGCCATGCACTGTCATACAGGGAGCAATTCGAGTTCCTCGTGTTCCCAGCACTGCGTTTAGTCCATAGGTTGATGCTTCATTTTCCAATCTCCAAAGACAGGAGATGAAATACTTCAGAACATTGAATTAAGAACAAGAACAAGAAGCTTCCTAGCAGATTTCCATGTGCTTTTCTGGGATAATATTCCATTCACTGTTAGTGTTTACCATGTATTTCTTTTCTCTGCAGTGTAATTCTTGCTTTCGTCTGTTCATCTGGATGCCAGCTAGAAATTAAAATAAAAAGTCTGCACTCTAAATGGATTCCTGAATGCTATTATAAAGCATGGCAGGTTTAACAAACAAGCTCAATAAAAGTAGTTCTCACTTTGCTTCAGTAAATAGGAGGGTTGTTGGTGTCCTTGGTTAGGCCGTAGTTGTCCTAGCTGTATTTCTTGCGTATTCTGTTGTACTGCATGTGTGAGTGCAGCTTTTAGCATTTATATTTTTCGTGTTCTTTGCAATCAAAATGCTTAAATCAACATCTTTTTTTCTATCAAAGACATGCATGTGATACAATCCACAACAAATGCTTCCAGCACGTGCCATTTTTAATTGCTTTACCAAGTACGATTTCTGAAGTCTAGCTAATAAATTTCTGCCTCACTGTGCACTTATTCAGAATACAGGCAAGATGTAGACACCATTCAGATGTGAAGACCTATTACAAGATTGAAATAGATTTCTAATGCATTTATCATTCATCTTTGCAGAGTATGATTTCAATCAGAAAGAAAAAAAAATGATGAATGGTTTGACAGTTTCCACCCATATACGCTAAAACATAATATGCTGCTTCTAGTTTTCAGCTATTACAGACTTTAACATGCAATGTGACCTTGGTCTGCAAAGCATGTTTGGTTAGCACAAAAACTTAATCATAAGAAGTCATAAGTAGAATCCTTCTTCTTTACTGCCCTTTTTCTGGGACTTGGAAATTTATTGCTTCTGGGACAGGTAGGATATGAACAATGGGCCAAATAGAGTCCAGGGTTATCTCATCTGTGTGAAAACTGCTGCTGAAAATCGATGTGACCTCTGCTACACTGTCATCCCAATTCCCACCCTCTGTGTCCTATTTGTCTTTTGGTGGAAGCTTAGATCTGTGTGCTGTCTCTATGTGTCTCTCTGGGGCCAGATTATCAAAATGAATCATTGCCTGCATACCTCTTATATTTCTATTTATTTTCCTGGTGTTGACTAGGTCTGATGAAATATGATTCTTTTTGCATTTGATCCTCACTGCAGCAAGCAGCACCTAATTTAGCTGTGTCTATCTCTTTAAAGAAGAGTAATACTATTTTGAAACTTCAATCTGCTGTACAGTAACATTACAAACCATAGACCATGCAACCTGTCTTCACAGTCAATAGTAATTTTCCTTTCGGCCAATTTAATGTTATTACTTTCCTCTCCAAATAGTAGAGATTTCTAGAGATTTTAAAGCGGCTATAGTTCCGTTATGCATACTTCATGTATTACTTTCTTTTTCACATGCCACTTCTGCTTACTCTTTTGTGACTCCATGGCTTAGGCAGTATTTCTGTGTAAGCATCATAGGCAGCAACTAATGAGTATGTTATCAGAATTGGGCTTTTTTTGCTTTTAAATGGATCATTTAAATTATGTGAACACAGCGCTAAAATGATAGCTGAGAAGATGCATAGAGGTTACTGGCTTTTGTTGTTATTAGTCCTGAAGAATCGTTATGAAGATGTTCCATTTAATGAACTCACACGGTGAAAACAAAATAGTCCCTAAACAGAGATTTCAGAGAATCCTTGAAAACTGCTAATGCTCCTCGTCGTTGTCAGCAGGTGTGTTTCAGACCCACAGCAGAACCTGCTTGCTACTCACTGATGCTCCTGGAGCCTGTGAAGCTGGATAACAGCACCGCGGTTGAGACACCGTGGTCTAGTTTGCTGTTGTCAGATTCTTTCTGAGTTTGGGGGTTTTTTATGAAGAGAGGTGGGAGAAGGAGGCCTTTTGGATATGGTGTGGTCTAATTGTACATCCTGGCTTTAGCATGGCCGAGACACTTGACAAATGAAACTCTCCGGACTGGCTGTGCAGCTGCCCTCAGAAAACACATGTCATGGACTTACGGTCAATACATTAGTTGCAGGCTTTACTAAAAAGCAATTGCTGAGCAGGTGTTCTTCATCATCTCTGCAAGTGCAGGAACGTAATAGTTACAGACTGCATTTCCCTGGAATAGTACACAGAAATACTTTTTTTGCATTTCAGAGTAAAAGAAATGTACACGGTTTGGCTTTAAAGATTGCTAGCAGATTTTAGGTTTGTGGTTTTCAGCAATTAACTTGGTGTTTAAAGTGAATCCATGGGGAAGAACAGCTCATGGAGATCTGAGAGCAGGAGCTACATTTACTATCCTGAAGTAGGTTTAAATCATCCTGTTCAAAAATGTGAATTCATTGATAATAGTGATTCACCACAATTTAAAGGATTTTTGAAAAATAATGACCAATGTTGCTGTTTCGTTGTGGACACACATTTCTACTGTGTCTGCACAGCTTGTTCTGCAGCAGCGTGACCTGTTCGAAACGCCGAGTGGAGGGGAAGCCGCC